TGGGAATTGTATTTTTTTTCTAGGACATTGAGCCTTCTCTGTCAGAGAATTCTTCTGTCACAATAAACTCCAGTTCCCATGATTCCTTAGCACTGAGCCAGGATAGTTAAAGTGGCCTCAAGCTGCATTATTTTGTCAGTCTGTAAAAGCCCAATGTGTGAAAGGGATCTAGGAATCCTAGTAGACCACAAGTTGAACATAAGTCAAGTGACCAATGATCTCCTGAAAATCATGTAGCGTAGTCTTTCGTTTGGTTGAGAAGTGCTGAAGGTGCTGCAACTAGATAGAAACCCACAACCCATGAGGGTAGGGAAAGTGATGGGTGATGCAGTATTCTCTTGGGGTTTTCTTTGGTACTATGCCTAAAGGGGAAACCTTCAAATTGCTAACTGGGAGAACTAGAAATGGACCAATGGTGCGATCCTCAGAAACCTCTTTTAAGATCTTTGCCTTAACAATGTGCTTCATGCCTATAATATACTCAAGATTATTAGATAAGAATGGGCAAAGCACTTCCTGAAATGGGATGCAAAAACCATTACAAAAACCTTATAACAAATACTGAGCCACTTCACAATTCAGGTATGTGGACAAAAGTTGCCTCAGTATCCATATCTTTATTGGGCTAGGACCCTTTTGAAGGTGGAGGGGCACCTCCCCCTTTTTATTGTATTGGCCTTCTTTATTAGAACCTATTGGCCCCTCCCTATGGTACAATTCCAAAAGCAGTGCAGCCCTTTACAGACTGAATACTCATGTTTATACTTGCAGAGCTTACAGCTGCATAATCCCTGAAAGCTAAATTCCCAACACAGAAGATTTTGGGATTTAGCAGAATTATCCTGTGTCTTGGCAGATGAAGTGCTACCAGACTTGTGGACCAAATGTCCACTATGTGTATGATCGCCTTGCATGGGGCACACTGGTGTCATTAGCTGCATCCAGAGTTTGGAGTGCAAAAGATCTCAATGTAAAGTAGAGTAAATAGCTGCACACATACGGAAAGCCTCATCATATAGTAGCCAAGCAGGCCCAGAGTAGTCAGCATAAGCCCGGTGTATAATATCTATGTATTGAATGAAAGTCACTGTGTGCATGGGCTGTGCCTTAGCCATGACACCTGCATAGATAAAGAACCCATTCAGTCAGTTAGCAAAATTGCATTTAACCTTTCACCATTTTAAAGCTCCTCCTTATCTTTCTTTTCTATCTCTGAGTAGAGTAGGGAAAAGACATCTACATATTCACTCCTGAGTATCTTATCTATAGTACTGGAGAAGGTGATCCCCTAGAGGAAGGGACAACTCACTATAGGGAATGGCAGAATGTGCTACTGTGTTGTAGCTCTGC